AGCTTTTCGTGACGTGATGTTTTGCGAATTTTCACGTGCCTCCTCTTTGGTATATAAGTAGTATCAAATTCCGATGTGTTGTTCGCGTTATGATATATTATCGATTTCTCTGTAATAATTGCCATCTCCTCGCTCATTTTATCCGAATATACTGTTACGCTGCACCGCGGTAACTGGCATTATTAGAGAGAGAGTCAAAATAAATAACAAATATAATCTAGCGTCTCACACACACACACACACACACAAGTGCGTTGGATTGATGCTAATCAGACAAAAAAAGAATTTTTAATTTACTCTCGATTCTTTTCTCTATCTTCTGACTTATTTATAAAAATTGTTTTTCCATCACAACAAACTTTTTTTTTTAATTATTCGCAATCCATCGTTTATGGATTATTGATTATTAAAATTGTCTCGATTGTTTGACGTTGTTATGAGCTTTGACGTTTGTGTGTCAGCCATTTTCGACCACGGCACGTTTTGCAGAAACAATTCGGCATATTGTGCTTCATCGTCAAAAAGGAAAGGCCGTAATTCGCCGTTATTTGCTCGCAGCCGAAGTCGGATGAAATTTCCTAGCCATTTCGGCGACGGAGCCCGCGGCGATTCACGAGACATGACTTTCTTCAGTCGTTGCTCTTTCCGCTGAAAAATATGTTCTGTTCTAAATACGTCGCGAATCGCGCGATTCAAAATTAATCGTAAAATCAGCTGGCTTTTATTTCGAAATTGTTATTTTACACTTGTTTTTGTTCTTTGTTAATGTCCTAAAAAACACATTGAAAATAAATGCGTTCGTACAATTTTTTTTTTTTTGCTGCAGCACCGATACACGCGCGTACATACACGCGTCTTTGATATATCTCTCTATTTTTTTTCGAACATTACGGCGGAATTGTCGATCGGCAATTACCATGTAACTGGATTACGTCCAGTATGAGCCACCATTATATCCCCTTGAAACCCGCATTGATAATTCCGAGTGCGATTTAACGCGGTTTCGTTGCTACGTCAGGGTATTTTCCAGAAAGTGAATTAGCGGTCGATTCAAAACCGCGTCAATAAAAATGTTGCGAACGGTTGGCGGAAACTAAAGCGGATTAACAAAAGCCGATTTCTCAAACTAATTTAACTGGCTATCTACTTTGCATTTTTTCTAAAATGCGGCGCAATTTTTAATTACGTCGCGTTTCTACACTCCGAAGCAAACGTTTTCTTTGCAAAGCGCATATCGCCGTCCCTTCCGTTGGTTTTTGCTTTTGTTCGATTTATTTTGTTTGTCGGTATAACATTGCATTCGACGGCTCGGTTTTAGCTTTATTTATTAGTTTTTTTTTTTTTTTTTTTTTTTTTTTATAAAAAAAGCGTATCGTTAGTCGATCACGTTCGATCAGCAAGATTCTCTTTCCGATCTTTGTATATGTAAACATCACCGAGGAGAAACGTGTCGGACCAACGAAATTACTTCCGAGATGTAGGTCCGAGGTTTCTGCCAGGCCGAACCCTATTCGGCGCGATGAGAGGGCACTTGTGATCCGCGCACGTTTCGCACGTGGAAAACTCCAACAATCGTGGCGCTCGGTTGAATTGTGCGCCGCAATATCCACCTTCCTGATTACTTCGCCCGTCATATCTCGCAACATAATTGAATCTGCGACAGTGTGTATAACCTCTGATTCACATTCTCGCTTGCTCTCTTTCCCCTCTCTCTCTCTCTCTCTGTCACTCTCTCGTCGACACAAAATAGAGCTTTCACTGTTTGTCTAGAATTTGAAACTCGCAACTCATGCAAATCACGACAATTTTGTTCTTCATTCTTCCGAACTTTAATCAATTTTGTCCCAATTTATCGTTGATCGCGTACAAACGTCTGTTAATTCAATATCAATTGCGCGTTGTACATCGAAATGTACTATAATTTACGAGAGTTCTATCGATCTTTCTGTTAATACATTATACCGCTCGTATAAACCGAGATTTCTCGAGACACTTTAAAAGCTTTTTTAGATACTTTGACATCAGACACACATTAAAAGTTCTCCGAGTTTTTCCTCGTGTTTTAAAGATCCGGTTTGTCAGCTTCAAAGTTTTCAGAAAGAAATCGAATCTTTCATCGTAAACGTCGACAGTTTTTCGTCCCCAACGAAGAGATTTTCATTTTTTGTTGATGTATTCGATTTCTTATCAGAAAGACACACAATAAAACACAAAATTAATTGAGATTTGCGCATCGCGAAATGTCGATCGGACTGAAATATTTTGTCAAAATCGAATAAATTTTGTCACATTTATTATAAATGAGTTTCTTTCATATGCGCAGAAAAAGAGAATCGTTCTCGTGTTCGATGAGCAAAAGTTGAAGTTTCGTTAGAAAAAAAAAAAAATTCTCTCTCTAAAACATATGGTGGTAAATGTGGGGTTCGGTCGTTCTTTAATGCATTAATTACAGAACCGAGAGGAGAATTTGTTGGCTTAAAAACAGGAAACGCGCTTGATTAAAGGGTCCGGCAAAAGAAGGAAAGCGACGTCAGTTCAATTTACGGTCGACAAAGCGCTCGCTTCCTTCTTTCCTTCCTTCCTTCCTTCCTTTTCTTTCTTTCTTTCTTCTTTCCGATAGTACCGTGTGTGCAGTACGACACGTTTTAGAAAGGTTGCAAAGTTACTTTTTTTGAGTAACCAGCTATGTGTTTGATACATCATGTCGCGACACGTCTCTGCTTTTTGCAATTTTACTAATCTCTTCTTTCACATTTTATCTCAAATGCGTATAGCGAGCGTCAAAAGATCATTATTTCTCTCTCTAAAAGTAAATATTCTATGTAAGTGTAAAAGATAAAAAAATATCTACATATGTATATGTTTTATTTATGTTCTCACATATGTAAATAAAGTTATTGCATCAAACAATATAAAATAATAATAAATAATAATAATAAAATGGCAATAATATAAGTAACTGACAATAAGTTAAGAGAGGAAAAAAGAGAAAGAAGACACACAATGTTTTATAGTCTTGACTGGTAGTTAATAAAACATGTACTTTTTTTAACAGTAGTCGTTCGTATAAAAAGTTTCTTCAATACGTTTAACAGTATTAGTGCGAGAAGAAAATGGAATTATAGAATCCTCGCGCTCGCGCGCGAGAGCACGCGCGTTTCCGCTGCAACACAGCATCGTTCTTCGTATTAAAGCATTTCAAAATAGGCCAACTGCTGAGAAGGGCAGATAAGAAAGTGTACAAAACAATAAAATAGACTGCCGTACACAAAGGTTCTTTCTTTCATTTAACGACCTACGAAATCCTGAATCCTGCAAAGTGCATAATGCAAGTTCTTCTTTTGAATGTTACAAAGGCCGCGGATGAACACACGCGCGCGCGCAAATTTTGCATAATTTTCCTTTTTCAATTTATACATGATAAAATTACTTCTCCGTCAAAGCGAATCGCCGCGAGGCATAAGCACGTAAGTCAAAAGCGTGATCGCATGTAAATTTCAATTTTCGCGAAGGTTCACAATTAGACAAGTACAATTATATTAATATGTAGCTGATATATATCTAACTAATTAGAGAGAATTTCCATTTGTGGTTCTCATTATTAATCAATGCCTATTAGCAATATTGTATCTTTACGCGTGCTTTTGAGAGTCGAATAAAATAAATATCTAACAAAAAAAAAGAGAGAAATCAGCGATTTTAATACTCGAGATTTATCTCGCACGCACACAAGTATTTTTTATTTTTTTTTTTTCATATGTAACAAATCCCGCGAAAAGCATTTTCTCCATTTAAACGAAAAACGCAGAGAGATAAGAATCGCAAGTTATCAAAAGTGTCTAATCGGAAAGTTGAGCAATGCTTCGCTTGCATTTTCGCGACGTGCGCACATCCGTTTTACTCGGCAGAGGTGGATGACGTTCTCGCGTCTTGTCGCAAGGAATTCTCCTCCGTTGATGCAATTTCCATTTCGCCTTGTTGAGCAGTTTATGCGCGTCCTTCCGACCATTTCCTCGCATAAGTCTAAATTAATTTCGACATTAATTAGCGAAAATACACTTAAGCGGCCGCCGCGATCCGTCCGCGAAAACGTCGCCGGGAGACGGATGCGATGTAACGTCACCGATGCGCGTCACGCAGTCATGAATAATTCTCTTCCTTCAACTCGCGCGTGTTACAGACCGAGCGGCAACACTCCGAAGGATGCTCGCGTTTGCATATCAATGTCGTGAGCCTACTTGTGCAACGCAATGTCAAAATAAGAGAGAAGGATCGTTGCTTAATATTATTTATATACGTAATATATTACTTTATATAAATATAAACCTTCTAAAGTTTACATTATATATTTAATTTGAAACACTACATTAATATTATCTTTGTTTATTATCTTGTTTGACATACTTTTCGAGAGCTTTCAATCTATTATTTTTGAAAAGCTATTATCTTTGCACCAAGAAGTCACGTTCCCGATTATCATCGACATTTATATTTTATGTATTGAACATTAAAACGTTATTGTGTCATATATACGTATACGTACACCACCAAAGAACTATTAGTTCAATCAATCTACATAAACAAGCAAAATTGTTGAAAAATTTCTGTTCTTTTTTCTATCACAAAGATTATACCGCGTGATATGTAGCAATGCGTACACACTTATAAACTATTCAACAATATTCGCCGTAGAAGCGACGAACGGGGCAATTTTATATCCGGTGACAGCGAGCGCGATCGCTCACTTGATACAAAGGTAGCGGAATAGTAATTGAACGGAAGGCCAGATACGCGATCTGATCTTGTTAGATCTCTTCCGTCACAACGCGCGCGGGGACCGCGAACCTACACACACGTAGCAGACAAGTGTCAGTCCCGCACGCGTGTTTTATGGCGCCGCTCTGAAACGATGTCAGTCGTAATTCCAGATAGTCGCGCGAATGCGCAGGTTATAACCGCGCGTACGCAGTAACACCATGTAGTTTTGCGGGAGAGAAAAAAAAATTTTTTTTTCATTTACCGATGTGTACGCGCGCGGAGATATTGCAGAGAGATGATCGTTTCGTTTCAATCGGTCGTGCGTAGACCGAAGTGATTGAAAATTGATTAACGATTGTCGCACACACAACGAAGAAGTTTTAATTAATATTAGATCAGATTGTGAAGTCAATTTGACTTCTAAATTGTGCGCGATTTAATAATGGAAATTACATGATGAATGAAAAAAATCAGATTAAATCTAGAAACAATATTACGCGAGCATGGGAAGCATCGACGGGCAGGGAACGACGATCGGAGCAGAGAACGCCGGAGCAATTCCAGAGCTTCAGAGTTATGGCAAAATATCTGAAATTATATTGTCAGTATTCCAGTTTAAGTAGTTTCAAATATCTCGCCGATCCTCAGAAAACTTGGTTCGAAAGGTAAAAGGATCACCAGATCCTTGTCACGCACATTTACATGTCGCAGTAAATCTCTAAACTTATTTATTATCATAAAGAATTTTGGATTATCTATTCTCTCTCCGAATGTATATAATTTGCCTTATTTTCAAATAGCTAATACATGCACGTACGTAAAATAATAAGAACAAGTAAAATTAATAATTTTTTTTCTAATAAATATACATCTGTTTATTAAGGGATACTTTTATACCTTATTTTTATATCGTACCTTTACGCACATACTTTCATATGTGCTACGTTCTTTATTTGTATAACATATATCTATTTTCTATCTATTCACGTTTTTTAAATCGGTAAATAAACATGTAATGACCAATATTTCTATTTCTGTATTCGGTATAAACTCACCATCTCTCTTTCTCTCTCTCTCTCTCTCTCTCTCTCTCTCTCTCTCTCTGTATGATAAAAACTTTTCTCGGGAACGGGATTTATTTGAATGTTATTTACCCATTTGGTGCGGTGTAAGCTTGCACTCGAAAACCTCGCTCACGTAATACGATTATCGGGCCTTTATCAAAACAATGATAAAAGCGGTTTATGCAAGCTACACGTGGGGATTAGTCGTGAGAGACGACGCGCGGACTCGTGCGTTGTAACATTATACGTCGGCTCGCGCGCGAATAAGGTATGATTAAAGTTATGCAATTTAACGAAACGTATGCTCATTTCTCGCGAGATTAACGGCTGCGAGATGGGTAGGGGAAAATTCTTGGATTCATAGCGGACCGCACAAATCAGTCCGTGCACAAATCATAAAGCGTATTACGTTTCCCGAAACGAAACAAAATGCGCGAGATGTTTTCTCTCGTTCTCCTCTCCAAAAAAAAAAAAAAAAACAACGCGGCAAAAAATAAAAAAATAAAAAACTAACCCATAATATTCTGCAAAATGCCCGAGTTACGTCGCGACATGACTGATTTAATGTGTTACGCGTTACACGCGTGACGTTGATAGCGTCGCGTAAATTTCGTAACAAACGTAGACACATCGCGATACGAAATGAGAACAAAGTGTTGCTATAATACGCTTACTTGATACTCCATAATACGGGATGTTACATTCTGGTTTCAGCTTTTTCAAATATGCATTTTTTGTGTCAAAAGTGAACAACAAGCGTCTAAATTACAAGAAGCAATTCTCTTTTGCGCACGCACAATTTTCTCGCTTTAAAACTACAGATCCTCGTTTAGTTTCATTTATCAACACGCGTGAATTGTATTTTCAGATCGTTATGGATCGCGATACATTGCGTGACTATAGCTAGTTTGATATTTATGGTTTATGTCTCCTATCAAGAATTTTACACATCGCCCATACTAACTTCCATGGATACGGACAGTTATCGAACGACCGATTTACTTTTTCCAGGTACAAAAATCTCATTTGTATTTTCCAAGATTTACGCACAAAACCTTATAAACATAAACACTTGTTAGTGGAGAAACTTTAAAAAATATAAAATAAAATATATATATATAATATTTTAATATAAAATAAAAAATAAAAACCATAATATTTATATAAAACATAATATTTATGTATAGAAATATAAACATTTTTATATTATTTCAAATTTATTTTTGCTTGTTTCTCTCATTTTTCTTCCAATTGTTTTTTTTTTTATTATGGATTGACGTTTCAATAATCACTTTCAGCAATCGCCATCTGTTCCGTGAACAGGATAAGTAAGCAATCCGCAACAAAACTGGCGAACAGCATGTAAGCTATTTTGAATTAAATAAACACAGGCTAAACTCACGAATAACAAACATAGCGCATATTCTCTTTTACATACACACACACACACACACACACACACAAACATACAACGTTACACGAGTAACAAAAACAACAAAACGGTAATGTACACGGAGTGGGGAACCGTGTATGAATATAGCGCAAATGTGTCTGTTAATGCGCATTATTCCATGAATTTTCTCCGTGTGCCGTGTTGAAACGGTCACCGTTTGCCAGCGTCAAAACGCGAATTGCAAATACGTATCCGCAACGCGAGTCGGTCGCGTGAATTACCTTTACGACGATAATAAAAGGAGCTTATATGCAAATATTGGCGATATCTTTCAATATCATGCGTTTTTATATTGGTCTTAATATTTTTTTTTCGACGCTGCTTCGCGTCCAGATGTTTTCAAATCTCTTTTTCACATGTAAATTATCGAAAAATGTGTTTCAACCAGTAATATTGAAAAAATTCTCTTCTAACAGTCGGAATAAATAATAAATTCGTAGTCGAAAGAGTCTCAGTAATGATTATCTAAAAAAAAGATTCGTGACGCGACGATGTAAAATCGATAGATGCTGTCCGATTACTTGAAACAAGCGAAGTGTTTGAAATAATCATGACCCATCTGAATACGATCAAGCGCGAATCCATCGCTCTCGTGATGATGGTTGCAAAAGTAGGTCCGCCTGTGAAACTCATCGGATCCTGTAAAAAGCGTTGACAAAGGCGCACGCGAGTTACCTCGCTATTGGTTAACGTACCATGGTAGCATTGTGGGAGATGCTTAATCGATCGCGCGCGCGTCAGCTTTTTACTTCACTTTTTGCTCGATCCCGAGTCAATTGGCGCGCGGATTATCGTTAATTCGGCGCTGCCGCGCACTTGATAACGAAAGTGGATCGATGCATCGGATGCCATGATGGAGAGCGTTAGAATTGGTGGTTACGGCTCATTTAATTGAGCGCGTTAATATCCCCGAAATTCAGCCATTTCGCACAACGCTACCTTCTCCACCCGCCCAAACTTTCGGGAGTCGCGCCGCGGAGAAATCGTTGATTCGGAACTGAAACTCTTTGCGCGGGGTTGGGCTTTGCCCTCTCCCCAAAACTTACCGCTCTCTTCTTATACTCGTAGACCGATACATCTTTTATTACAGTCTCGCGAATACACGCTTCATTGATTAATTACGAATTAATTAATTTTATTTGAGCAATTACTTGTGTCGAATGTGTTACCTAACTTATGGAAATATATCACTTATTACATCTGCACACGCAAACATGGTCTTTGTCATTGCAATAGTAAAAACTTCTCGTGAAAACAGTTTCAACGCGAACATCACGGACCAGTCGGTCACGGAAATCCTCGATTTGGTCAAGCAGTTGGGCAATATATATGCCTCCGAATTTACCATGGATGAAGATCGAAATGTGGAGATTGATCGACTTCTGACGACTTACTTCGAGGGACCGTACGACATTACCGGAATAATGAAGGACGTACGTATAGCGAGTAGGCCACGTATTAACACGAATGTGACAACCGAATGATTTGATGTCACGTTTCGTGTTCGAGTTTACTTTCTTCCAATGTAGTGATGAAAGCAACAACCACAAACCTCTGAAGGTTTAACACTAAGCAGCAACAGAAGCTTTGGAAAAACTACGGTTTCTTGATGTAAATTATAATTTCAAGGAAAGCGCGATTTCAGGTTTTTCATAAATTTTTAGTTTTATTCGAATTTTTCACATTCAGATATTTTGAATTTTTTTTTTTTTTTATTGTTTTACGCGACAGTTTGGTCTGATTTTCAAGCTCACTCGGTTTTGTTCGGACACACAACGGATAGAAATCACTTATATACGGACGATCGCGCTGTTATTTTATTTACACGTGTAATTGCGCGAAACGCGCGAAGGGGTTTTCCCCCCGAGGAGCAATTAAAACGTTGTTTGCCCGACACTTCGCGTGCGGGATCGAAACGATGTTATCACAAACGGGCGAGTTAACGGTAATTTATTATCGCATTTAGAGTGTCGCACGCCTGAATTTTCCAGTTATCGCCGCAATGTGCAACGATGCTTCTCAAGTGCAAACTCCACGGGACCGACCGGAATTGCACGACGCTTTTCGAGTTTCGTAAGACGCAAGACGGATTCTGTTGCACCTTTAATTATCTACGCGAAAGCGACGACATTCCCGTGTGAGTATCTCTCTCTCTCTCGCGCGTATTTGGAACGCGCGTATTTCCGGAAAACACAACACGGTTCAACCGCTTATTCGACTATGTACTTATTCGCATGTAACTTAACACAAAGTAACGTCTTTCAAGCAAGTTACATTTCTCTGATGTATGCGCAAAGATGTTCCCGTTATTTGATTTATTATTATTATATGTACAACTGTTTCCTCTGCTGCGTGTGCAAACACATATAAATTTAGAATACAGATACGATATTATTATTATCATTGTACTTTAAAAAGTGTAGAACGCGTATTAATTTCAACAGATGGGAGTTAGTAACGCGAGATATACAGTGGTTTTAAAAAAATCATCGTTAATGTTTTATTGATAGCGGTTTGTTGATTGTATCGCTAAATAACTGACATTTACGTTTAATGTTTCTTTTTTTTTTTTTTTTACACACGCAACGCGTTTTATTTGCATGTTAAAACGCGTGGCGTATGAAAAATATATAACGTTCAAACCATTAGAAGGTTCAGCTTTGTACTTGAAACAATTACTAGCGATTAATTATACGTGACCTCTCTCTGTTGACAGAATGAAGCCCGAATTCATGAAACCGCCATTAAAAGAACATAATGTGTCTGATCTTGGAATCGAACGTGGTTTGACGGTCGTGATGGAGCCATTTTTGGACGATTACTTCTATCCGATATTACCGGTTAAAGGTTGGAAGGTAAGCAAAAGTGGCGGTTTTAAAGTGCCTGCATTCGTCGAGACAGACTGTTATATTCTCTTATATTCGCAAGAGAGATTTCATTTTCGAGCTAAAAGTCAAAATGTAAAACATTTATCTCATTATCACAAATACTACCAAATTTCTCTGTTTGTTCTCCAAATAAGAAATTTTTGCAAAAAACTACTCGCGTCGAAGTGTATCAGAAATACATTTGTGTACATAATATAGTCTTGGAAATGTACTTTATTTCATTTACGGAAAAACACCTCACAAAAAAAATGCGATAAAAATATTTTATTCTTTTAGCGTACAATAGTGATTTAGCGTATGTAATTCTGAAAACCTCGCGTGTGAGAATTCCTCGGAAATATTCTCGCCTATGCGAGAAACGAGTCACATTTGACTGGTAACGAGTTGTTACGCTATAAAGTGTTGAATATGAAAAGAGGCTAATTGAGCAAAATGAAGATTTATTCTCGTTATGTTTTATCATATACCGAAGTGAAGTTAATCTTTGCCTTTTTTCAGTAAAATGTAAAATACATTTACGTGTACACATACACACGCTTCTCACATATTGCAAATAATAAACTTGGTACAAACAATTAAAAAGTTTAGTTTCTCTTAATTTATCATTAGAAACGCGTGATAAATGTTCGCGTTTCTAACGACTAATTAATTAATTAATTCTACACGCAATTTAATTATAGTTATTAATACCATTTCCTCTATGATATATATATATATATATATATATATATATATATATATTGCACATATACATTAAAACAATTTGATATACTACTTAAACAAATAAACACTAAAAGTGTTTATTATGTCGTATAACGCACTTCAACAAAGTTATCGTGTTCTTCGAATGTATTTCAACAATGAAGGAGCGATAAAGATAATCGGTAGCCGTATCACACCTTGAACTTTTTCTACGCTTCCTGCACCCCATTAGAGACCACCTGTGTACTTCATTCGTGTATAGTGCTCGCCGATAAAAAGCTCGCGAAAGTCATTAGCGCCGCGATATAATCGCGCGCATTTCCTTCAGACCGCTATATTTTCGGTCTAATGTGTGTGCGCTACAACTTTGAGTGTTGTAATAGCACTTATGAAGAACTCGCGTACACGGTGAAACACGCATCTTAGAGAATTGTATGTATCATCGGTAAAAAAAATTTATATTTGTGTCGAGCGCTCTTGAATAAACATGAGTCGGGGTCAACTCTATTTGTCACATGAGTTACTGTACAAGTGTATAGCGAGTTATTTTATTATCAATTATATTTACATTCACTCTGTAATCGTTCGTATGTAACACGACGACGTTCTCTTCGATCTGCTCGAATACTATCGACTTTGGAAACCGAATACATGGGAGAAATCAGATATTCTCGAGTATTTGATCGAGCATTTGATGTGTGCATCGCGCAAAAATACTAGTGTACACGACGCAGTCAGAGAAATTTGCAAAATTATTTTCATTGTTTTATTTTAATCGTTTCGGATAAAACAATGCGTTGACGCGCTATTGTCTGGAGAAATATTATTCGTTAATGTGTCGTATTGAAAATTGATAATTTATCTCAATTATACGAATCCGTCGGATGTGACGCAATATTAATTTGAGCGGGAAATTATGAGATAAATATAAGAGAAAAATAAAAACAAAATTTATATAATAAACATATATTTAAAATAAATTTAGCGATATTGCTATTGAAACATGTGCAAACCAATCATTTTGATGATTTAATTTTATATTTATTTCTAAATATTATACAATTTAAATAATTTTAATTTTAAATTTCTTAAATTTCCCAAGTTTCACAACTTTAATTTCCAAAATAATAGCAAGAGAGAAAATTGTGCAAAATCCAATGTACCATTTCAGGTGACTGTGTTCGACCCTCGCGATTATCCGGACGTGACCAGCGGCGGTGTCACGGAGGTGCTTGCGCTGCCTCAATCCGAGACGTACATTGACGTGACAGGGGCGTCTTTTTACAGTACTAAAATCATCGAGAGATTTCACGTGAGCAAACGCAACTGTATTTTTGCGGAGGAGCAACGCACAACGTACTCTGGCACGCCTTACACTTACAGCGACTGCATTGTTGACTGCAAAAGTCACGATGTCCTGAGTCTCTGCGGGTGCAGGCCGTTCTTCTATCCACGTCGTGGCGAAAAAGAATGTTAGTAAGAATAATGTTAACACCCGCTGTTTGTGCATCTCGCACGCGCGCACGTAGCACACGTACATATATCGCATTCCGAAATGAACTGGTTTTGATATTAATAGAACAAGCGTAACACACACACACACACACATATCGAAGTCGTAAACACGTTTGCGAGACCCGACTCGCAGCTTTTATTGGCGTTCCTTCGCGCTGCACTATGGTCTATCAGGATTGACGATTCGGTAATATTGCTGGCAATCTTCGGAGCAAATCGCGTTGCCTTCCTCCGCGCTCACACTTTTATTTTCTTTTCGAGAGTTCCCCTTATCCAATTTAGCTTTCACACCTTTCACTTAGCGGTGCCGTTGGGAAAACTTAGAACGATCAAAAAAAAAAGTAGCAAAGAAAAAAAAAAAAGAAAAGAGAAGAGATGGCGAACATTATTCCGCACCGTTAATATTTGTCGTTATTGGTTACAAAAGAATGCATCGGTTATATTGCATTTGAATTATTTGCTCGGCGCGGATTGTGATTGCTATCGACGACACGATTGAAAGAATCGCGAAGATATTTTAAGGAGATTACAAAAAAAAAAAAAAAACCACAGTTGTATCTTTTAAGTAAATAGTAATAACGATTGAAATTTTAATCTCGTGATGGATTTACGATAGCGATTGAAAGCAAATATATATATATATATATAAAAAAAAAAAAAAACGCCAGCGGCGCAAGACGCGATTTATTTTAATCAATTCGAAATATTAGAGTTAGAAGTAAGATGTAGACGAGCAATACGGTAAGGATCGTATCTCGACGGATAAATCGGGTTTCCCCCTCTCCTCGAGAAGAATCCGCCGCCGTGCTCCTTCTTACATCTCGGCGATTTCTTTCTTCTATCACGAAGTCGAGAGGCGTGGGTGGCAATCTGTAAAGGAACGTCGAGCTCTCCTTGCATTGCGAGCTGTACGCGTTCACGAGCTTTCTAACGAGGCTTTACCACGGGTGGCTTAAAGCATTAAAGCGGATCGCGCGATGCATCCCCGCGCGTTCTGTAGGATTAACTTACCGTGGCCGGGGCTCCGGCGAAAAAGAAGAGCAGAGCGGCACAGTGAAAGCGTCGCCACTCCGCCAAGTTCTTTTCTCCGCGTTCTTTCGTTTTAAAACCCCGCCCTTTATTGCTCTTTTTTTCTCGCGCGCCATCGATAGCGCGCGAGGCGTGCCCGGATCCGTTTTTTCCCGTAGCCTCTTTCTTTGTTTTTCCACACATTAATCAATAACCACGTGTGCGAGTACGTATTGCACGTGATTGCATGCGTGAGAGAAATGTCGTATAGTATTTATGTTTTGAAAATTTATGAATTTGTTAACGCAATGTTATATGATCGCGCGATCGTTCATTTTTGTCACGTGTTCTAGATTCATGGCGCATTTGCACGAACGCAGATTTGGACTGTCTGGCCAAATATAAGAGTAAGTGTTACACACACACACACACACACGCGCGCGCGCGCGCACATACGATGTACGATTCATCGACGCGGATGATCATTTTTAAAGATCTCGCAAGCTCTCCTTTCTTCACTCTAATAATAAAACATTATTTAATAATTAATTACAATTATACACCCATATGTAGATCACTCTGTATCTGTGTGCGATATATATATATATATATATATATATATATATATATATATATATATATATATATATATATATATATGGCATATATATGTGTAATTTTTTAAATTTTCTCTGCGACACACACAGCCAAATGGTGGACAGTCTTACCTCATGAGGATAATGCAGCCATTTCAAATAAGGACTGGGCTCTCCATTGTCAGAATTGTTATCCCGCTTGTCAAGACACTTCTTACGACATATTAAGTTCAAAAAGTTACATGACTCCCGGCACATTCAAAACCGATCTGATGTAAATATATATGTATATATATATATATATAAATATATGATGTACATTGACGCGAAATTGTTATTTCTGAACAAAGAAATGTTAGGAAAGAAGCGTTAGCGAATTGCACAAATTGCAGGTGGAACCTAAACGTTACGGATGAAGGTGTGTTGCATGTGTTCTTTTCGAAGTACGGCTCGATCAGACTGAAACAGGACGTGACTTCCTACTGGTACGAACTTTTGAGTAAGTAAGAAATTACGAGATCGACGAGAAGAATTTTTCTTCTTGAGAAAAAAAAATAATTCGAAATTCGGTAAGTTACGGATCTCTAACGTGAGTGCGAATTGAACGTTGCAAAATGTCAGCACGCGTCAGTACAAATTAACATGTAAAATACAAATGTATAAAAATGGGTAGTTAATTGGGGTACGCGAATGCGCGATAAAAGAATACATTTTCAAAGGAAATTACGATTAATATAAAAAAAAAACTCGTCGTTTACACTCGAGTACGCAAACTAACGATGTTGAAATTCCTTTTGCAGTTGATATACAAAGCGCATGAAAAAGTCACCTCAAGAGGGCAGAGCAGAGTAGTAACAGAAATTTTTTATTCGTGTTTTTTCTGTAGGATGCCCTCAAGGGTGCTCAAAAATGGAATTTTTTAATAACTACTGCGTGTACACACACACACACACACACACACACACACACACACACACACTCTCTCTCTCTCTCTCTCTCTCTCTCTTATACTTTTTAGTAAAAGACAGCGCACGTATGATTTTACCGGGTTCTTATCTTTCTCTGAACAGTATATCCAGGCGCGGTGCTAAGTAAAAATGGTTACTTGGTTTTTTGCAGGCGATATCGGCGGTATATGCGGTGTCTTCATCGGCTTCAGTCTCATCAGCGTTGTTGAGATGCTGTACTTTCTTGCGCTCGTGCTCCGCGACCTCCTCTTCAAAGAATCGATCATGCGGAAGGACGACGGCGATCACGAGGAGAAAGATGACGGTGACCACGACAACGAGAAGATACAATCAATCCACGACCAAACTGTAACGACGATTTATTGGGGCGAGTTGCTGCCCCGATCGTGGCGCTCGGCGAGATACGGTCGATTTATCGACAACACGACCAGATACTGATACAGTCGGGGAGCCATCATGGAACTATTAGAAAAGATGTCCGATCGGAGAGAGTGCATTTTGCATCGATCGTCCCGTCACGAGCGTTCGGCCGATATTCAAAACGATCTGAAAGTGTTCGATCAGAAAGTTTTCGAAGTCTCGCGGGAATATGAAAAATCGATTCCGATCGAGACAAAGACGTCTCAAGTGAAAGACGTCGAACAAACACGCTACTTTGGATCTCGTCATCGTTCAATGGCGATAAACCGATTGCAAAAAACACTGACAGCCATTCGAAAGAACAAATGGAATCGCAATCAGAATTTCAAGTTCCCGATCGGAAGTTCCATGTTAGCTCCCAAGATCATGACCTTGTGGTTGAACAAGTCAACTAAACACTTGTGAAATTTTATTATTTCTACGTATTTTTTAATTCCAAATTTCCGAAGCGACGAGAATGAATGAACGCTCGTTGTAAATTTTCAGCATAAGTACTGAATTACGGTCCTTTGTAGCAATTGTTGCGAACATTTCGCAAAAAAGAAGAAACTTGAACTGTGTGGGATCGGAGTTAATGGTTGTCGCGCAAAGACGATATTGTTGGATAATAAGACATTATTAATGACGTAAGTGCTAAACAGTGAACCGGAAGTTGTTTACGAGAGAGATACGAAAGGACTATAATACCCTCGCTTTAAGGACATGAATAGAGTATGATAGATACATGAGAAGCTGCAAGAGAATTGTTATCTACTCTGATGACACGTGGCTGGAGCCACGTAATTACTTTCGCGGTGTAATTACGGCTTTCAACAGACGTTTTCACGTAAATTTGTGTTAAAAAAAAAAATTTACTCGTAAAACATTACGTTCGTTAAAAAGCAATTTTAACTAAATTTTAATGCATTTAACTATTTAAATTTATATATGTGTTTAAATTTATATATGTTTTTTATATGTTTGTAATCTTCTTCTTCTCTCTCTCTCTCTCTCTCTCTCTCTCTGTGTACACGTCGTGATAGATTGAATAGTTTACTATTGTGTTCATATTCACTGCTGTTATTTATCTCTGCGATTTTATTTCTGTGTATATAAAATTGATTTAAGTTTTTAGCAGTTTTTTTTTTTTTCAGTTTACATTTCTCACCGAGGAAAACGACATAAATAAAAGTTCAAAAACGTACCGCGCCAACCGTATAAAGTACGACTATGTTTATTGTACAGTACAGTGAGTTTTCTGTATGACACAATCAAAAAATCATAAAATATACAACATATTGAAATTACATGCAGCGGAGTGAAATTTATTTAAAAATTTATTTAAAAATGATTGTGAGTTTGTTTTATAGCGAAATAATTTCGACATAAAGAAGTTTGTGTTGAAAGGTTAAAATTATTTAATTTTATGTGAAACAAGCAGGTGTGCATTAATTTTTTTCTGAAAAAAATTTAGAAGTCCTTAGTTCGTAAAACTGAAACCATAATTCAAAGACATCTGATTTGTAATGTACTGAAACGATTTCTCTCTCTTTCTTCTCGTCGATAGTTTTAAGCTTGTTAACTCGACGAACACGATTGCGCGCTTTGAGCTGTTATGCCTGCGCTATTTGCTATCTGAATGTCGCGCGGAAGTCTCATGATAGTCTTGACCAGCGCAATTCAAACTTCCCCGCTTTGAATACGTCGGACAAATATACGTCCGAGAGCAAACAAACTTGTGTACGTAACGGAAGATAACGATCGTGCGTAAATACCAGGACAGGATGGAAATGCTGTTCGAAACGTTCTTCGTTCGAGAACATTCCCTTTCGTTGTGAGAGACGGTTGTGTATTCTTTTAGTTTACCATGTGCAGTATATATCTCTGATATATCTTTGTGACAGATTAAAGTTTGAGGATTCCAATATTTACACACAATTTTTTTAAAGCTTGTTTTAAAGCTAAAAATTTTGGAGTAAATATCAATTTGTTTTTGTATATTTTATGTATTTTGTATTTCAAGTCACTTGAGCGGAAATTTATTACCGTGATGAGGGACCAAAATACATTTACTTTGACTACACCAGTAATAAATTTCTAATAAGTAATTGCAAATTATAACATGAGAACACTCATGTGTACTTCACGGTAAAAGTCACATGAAAAATTGGACTGCATTAATTATAAGAAGAAAAAAAAACACAAAACACACGTGATATATTTTGAAGAAAAGATTTATTACTTTATTTACACGTATCGATATGCGATCGATTATGCGCGATAATCCCTGGTTCCGGCAGTATATGAGAGAATTCCGTTTCTCGCTTCCGTTAATTTCGCGGCCGAGGATGCGCGAACATAATGCGAACAGACCATGTGTGTTTGTGCGTAGTAACGTAGAATGGCTCACGTTTAGCGGAAACCGCATTAACGCACCTGCGCATTACATGAATTATTGTAACACGATCGCGCGGCGATTAATAAAGCGAGATGAAAAAAAACTATCGTGTAACACGAATTCGATACGAATTCGATCGCACAGAACAGAACTTTTCTCCTTTTTTTTATTCATACTTGATTTTCAAAACCATGAAGTAGTTGACATACAATTTTTGTGACAAAAAAATTGGAAGAAAAAACAATATTATTTCGTGACCGGATGAGTTGATGGACTTTGCAGGTTTTCGTTTCACACAAAGAACGAAGAACGCGTGTATACGCCGCGCGTATCGAATGAGACGTGAATAGCCGATCCCCAGTCATCGATATCGATGTCGACCGAGAGCTGCGGTTTCCGGTCGGCCGTCAAAACAAAGTAATTTGTCCGCAGATTCGACGTGAGGATTCGCCGTTTCACGTCACGATGTGCCGCATGTAGCCGGAGCTTGTTACAAATCACCGAGTAAACCGTCAGTCAGGTCCGACCGTTCCACTACGAGTCTCCGGTGATTCCCTCTGTGCGCCGCAGCTGTTCCTGGATCGCGGAAATTTCGTAGGATCGATCTCTCTGCGCACCGTTGCTCGGAGAAACGCCGGTAAATAATCACCCAAATTCGACGATCTCTTCTTGCAGAAAATTTCTTCTTTTGTTCATTGAACAAAACGAGAAATTGTCTCTTAACAAAGCGACTTTCGATCTGTCGGAATGTGAGAATATCCGGATGTCTTATACAGCATGACCGTCTTACGAGCCATATAACACACATATGAGAGGTGTCAGAAATAAAATCAAACTTAAAAAAAATAGAGCGAGGGAGAAGTGGAAATTAACACGTGACTAAAGTCACGCGACTTTACTTTAGTCACGTTTTCAAAGACACGTTCGAGCGCGACTTGGTTGCGCATGAACTTGGCGTGAGGCATTACAGTGCTTCTTGATTGATCGCGGGCAAGTACGAAATTCAAATTCTCGAAATTTAAACATTATGCAGAATCTATCTATTTTGTATATACATATATATACATCATTTCTTCCCACTCAAACTTCTTCCAACTCTGATAATATCATCTTTCGTGAAAGTGAAAAATTTTTGAATTATACCATGACTACCTTTTTTTTCGATCCAGATTGCGCTTTCTCGCGGGAGAAGATTCCATGCATTGTGTGAGTACTAAAACGCACTCGCGAATCATATATTCATGCGCGATATCACATTGCAAAGAATTTTATCAATTTTTTCGAAACATTATTTCGCGACATCCATCAGTGTGTGTTTTCCGCTTTTTCTCTGTCTCCTCTCTCTTCAATTGTAATAATATATACGCGCGATATATGTATATATATATATAAATCACTCTTGAAGTAAGCGTGAAAAACTTTTTTTTCACGAGAAGTAATGATTAATCATGTGATTATCCGCGATCTTTTAGCTCTCTACCACCTAATTACTTACCACGTCCATACTTCCGCGATCATTAGCGAACTTGGATGTTCGAAACTTTACAAGGAGTTTCCAGACCAATCTTCTGATGTTGCTCACGGTATAATTGTTATGCAGGTTGCAGCTTGAACTTGCTCACCCCCGCATTGCTCGATACTGATATACTCATATCAGCGTGAAAAATTACGTAATTGCAAATTACGAAATTGCAAACACATCCTCAAATAATCCGTAAAATGTATCATTCCTCTTGTAATTTTTTATTATTGCTTTGTGTGTGTTAAATATTGTATATAAATCAATCAAAATATAGGTACTCTCAAAACATCGTTTGGAACAATATGAGATACGTTTTTCTTCCCGTCTCCTACTACAATTTATATTGTGTCTATAGACAATAAATGCGAGACAATAAAAAACAGATTTCTTTTGATTTAGTAGTAACAGCGTTTCTCTATAACCGGACGCAAAATACAAATATGTTATTAAATATTGAATATTAGTTTCTCTCTCTTTCTCTCTTTCTCTCTCTCCCTCTTTCTCTGTGACCGGACTAAATCGCCGTTTAAATTTTGACTTTACTGTAGTTTTGTCAGTGGTCGACGAGAATCCAGACTTCCATTATCCAATATTATGACATATTCTGAAAAAAACAAGAAAAAGAAATTGATTTCGCAGCCTGCCATGCGCATGCTATGTTTCATCACAGACCCCGGATCCTGTTCTTTTTCATAGCGGTGACGCAGTATGATGTATGAGCGCTTCGTGCTCACCAGAGAAAAGAATACAGAGTGATCGATGATATAATTAATTCAGCCGTGACGGAATCGCTCGATGTACAATCGACCGACAGGTATCGATTGTGAGTTGACAAATCTCTTTTACAACGACGGAGTGTTAAGTACTAACGTTATTTGTTATATATACATACACACGCACATGCACACGCGCTCACACTCACAAGCGGACAACTGTGCGTTAAAAGTCGATTGCGCAACCGCAATCCTAATGGAAAAAAAAAAAAAAAAACGGAATAAATAAACAAAAAAGCGCAGCTTTACAACGGAAAACAATGTAATAAAGAAAATACTTTTTCGTAATATTTGAAAGTCGGGTTTTTTTTTTAGAAAAATGATTGCTTTGTATATTTTTAATTATAGAAGGAAATATCACACTG